GGGGGGGGGGGGGGGAGACTGACATCTGTAGCTGGCCAGCAAATCTGATCTTTCCCTGAGTCCCCTTCCAATCACAATGCTCTGGAGGAGGGATGTCAAAACAGCACATAAGCCTGTGTCTACAGCCTTTCTGTCCCTTTTGTGAGCTGTTTCTGCCTGAGCACCAGGAAGGCCCCCTGTTACAGGCTACCATCCCTACTGGTTTCATCCCACTATGCCTTAACACACACAATCACACGTCACAAGTTTTGCTTGTCAGTACCTTGAGGTGCAGTTTCTCAGACACCCCTGCACCTGTCTCTTTGGCAGGTCTCATGCCCTCAGAAGGGGCTACCATCTCTGCTGTTTTCATCCAAAGCCAACAAAAGATGACTAAGTTATAGGTATTTCAGTGATTCCCCATTATAGTCTATGGCCAAATAATTACTCCCCAAATCAGCACTGAATCAGATTAGCTGATTAGCATATGGGGCTCTTGAAGATTCTGATTCAGCGCAGCATATAAACACGTGTTCAAGTCCATTACCTTCCATGCCAAGCCCTTAAGCATGGACTTATGTCCCAATAAGTATGAATTAAGCACATGCTTAAAACAATTTGATGAATCAGGGCCCAAATATTTTTCTTAGTTTTATCACTACCAGAGTTGGAAACAAACAAACAGATGGCTCTACTGCAGGGTGTATTTACACAGCCTGGGCCTTTGAATAGAAAGGACAACTTCAGATTATATCAGTGTGTTTACAATATGAATAATAAAAGGAGAGATAAGCTCAGCTAAACTAAAGATGAAAATGTCTTGGCTGCTGTATCTGTGGTCCCGTTTTTAAAGTTATTTTTACATTTATTTTGTTATTGTCATGTCCTAAATTGTTCAATTCCATAAACAAGTTTTCTGTAAAATGACCCCATTTTAATGGTCTGTTTATACAGGATAAGATCTCCAGAAAAGCAACACCTCATTCATGGACCCATTTTGCTGTCAGATAACAAATACTTTAACTATGCAGACAACATGCTTTAGCTGAAATGTTAAGAAACAAACACCAATAATAAGGGTGTGTTTCCCCCACTACATAGCTCTGCATTGCTTCACCTGGAAGCAGTAAGAAATTGGAAACCAGCAATCATTTTCATTTACTAGTAAAAGCCCTCAGATTAAAACAAGGCCAGCACAGCAATAAAAATCCCAAATCCTAGATGCCTTCACCACTTCTCCCACAGATAAGCAAGGTCACAAAACTGCCTTTAAATTTCTCCCCTTGACACATTATCCAGGAATCCTAGATCACTTTTATGGTCTCTGTGAACAAGTCATTATATTAATTGAGCCTCCATCTCCACCTTCAAAACAACCTAACCCCCATGCAAAAATGTTTCCTATAGCTGGACTAGCAGCCTGAACTGCTTTTTCTGCTGTAATTAATAAATTCCATATACAGAGTTTTCCCAGTATGCATAAAAATAACAGCAAAGAAATAACATACACAAACATGACCTACAGTAATTCCCCTCTCCCCTGTTCACTTCCAAAGCTGATCAAAATAGAAGCATGGGAAAGGTTTGTGCCTTCCTCCCTTTTACTTCCCAGGCTCATGGAAGGGCAGGTACGTGATGAGGGCTGTGTTCTGACAAATGGTACCCAATATGGAAAAAAGGCTAATAGAGGAGGAAAAGGAGATGATCTGTGGTATCATCCAAAGTCCCTGTGAAAATAGCAAGGCTTTTCATTGTTCTCAATAGCCTTGCACAAATAGTTATCAGAATGAAAAATGGTATGTGGACTGCACTATTTGCACTGGGCAGAGATACCCTTTATAGGAGTTTGACTAAGAGAATCTCACACCAAAATGCCCATCACAGCAACAGAACAGATGATTGTTCATCTAAAGCATCATCCCTAAAACCTAGATGTCTTTCTGCATTGCAGGAGGTGGCTCAGGGAATGGGAAATATCACAGCCAGGTCCAGCCATGTCTGAAAGTTTAAGATCTGGTACTGCCACCTTGAATTAGATACAAAACACATGTGAAGAGTGGTGGCTGACCAACCTGCAAGTTGAAATGCTGCAGCACTCTGAACAAGCTGCATGTGATGGGGCCATCTGCTGAACAAGGAATACCAATGATAATCAGAAATCATGGAATGGCAAGATAGCAAAGCTGAGACTCCTTGGAGAAGCTTTTAACACCCTGCCCCAGCAATTGCTCTTTAACTATCTGTTTTGAATACCTCTACGTGCAAAACCTACACGCAAAAATTTATCAGGCATTCACCAAATCTGGCACGCAATGTGGGAAACCACACAAGATTTCCTACCTGCTTGCGCACTGTGAACCTTAGGCAATTTTCCCACTGTTGCAGTAACATGATTACAGCTCCACTGCTCCTACTGATGGTGGGAGAAAAAAATGTAGTCTACAAACTTAGACCACTATGTCACTATGCTCTGCGTAAACTTGGACCACAAGGGATTAAATGCAACTCTGTCTGGTCTATGGCAGCCTTTCCAGAACTAAGTCAATAGT